AGAAATTTGACAAGGTGAATTTGGTTTTCAAAAGCTTGTGAAATGAGACCTCTATTTATAGGATTTAGGCTTGGAAATTTTGGTGGATTGGAGTTTGGTTTGGAACCAAAATTAGGCTTGGAATTTGAATTTGGAGGAAAATCAAGATCAAGTGGTGATTAGTGAAGGTGTATAGTGGGAATTAATTATGATAAGGTAGGGGAATTAAAATGAAGTGATCTAGAATATTCTCATGATGAAATCTTTGAAAATTGGTGCCAAAATACTGCAGAATTTGAATTTCGCACATTTTCACAAAAAGCGCACTAGGTAATCAATTACCCTAATGCTGGTAATCAATTACCACATGCAAAAATTGTGAAAATTTTCTTTTTGACGTACTGTCTTGCCCCTGCCTCGATTCTTTTTGCTTGTCGAAGAAAGCATGGAAATAAACACATGAACTTTGGAGTCTCTTGAATAATTATCAATTAAATCTTGAAAACCCTTGATCAGATGATTTTGAATTGTTTGCAGATCAACTTTGACTTTGTTCAGATAAAATTTATTCGAGCTGAGGGACTGGTATTTGATATTCTGATCCAAATCCTTCTTGAAAAAGTTAGTAAAGGAAAAACAAACACTTTTTTTGGATTTTAATTAATGGTTAGTAAACATAAACATAACCAAATATCAAAGAAACAAGAAAGCATGAGCGCTTGGTGATCTCTCTCAAGAATAAACATACAAAGGAAGGCAAGAGAACCAAAGCTTGCGGTCTTGTTTGTGGAATGAGATGCAAATGATATGTGGGATCTTAGGGGTAAAAATTAGGGTATTAAACCTTCCTAACGGGGAAGGAGAAGACAATGATCAGCAAGAAAGCCCATAATGCCATCATATTAAACCTTAGTGATAAGGTTCTCCGACAAGTCTTAAAGGAGAAAACAGTAGCATGTGTGTGGAAAAAACTCGAAGGTTTTTACATGACCAAGTCATTGGTCAATCGTCTCTATCTGAAGCAAGCTCTATATTCATTCAAGATGAATGGAAAAAAAGTCTTGATTGAGTAGTTGGATATGTTCAACAAATTGGTTCTTGATCTAAAAAGCATTGATGTTAGCATTGATGAAGAAGATCAAGCTTTGCTGTTGTTGTGTGTTTTACCTAGATCTCATTCTCATTTCAAAGAAACTCTCTTCTATGAAAGAGAGTCTCTATCCTTTGAAGCAGTTCTATCGGCCTTGTACTCGAAGGACTTGAACGAAAGAAAAGAGCACAAGCCATCATTTATTGGTGACAGATTGTCTCTAAAAGAAAAATTCTTGAAGAAGGATGGTAAGTTTAAGAAGAAGTAGGATAAAGATCAACATAATCTTATGGTGATAATGCTCATATTATTAGGTGTTACCATTGTAAGAAGGAATTTCATACGAGAAAAGTGTGTCCTGATAGGTCGAAAAGTTATGGTGATAGCAAGGATAATGGCAATGTAATCATTGTTCAAGAAGATTATGAATCATCTAATGTCCTTGTGGTTTCAAGCAACAATTCTTGCAAGGATTGGATTATGAATTCAGGTTGCATTTGCCACATGACTCCAAACAAATATGTGCTTGAAGAATTATGTGATCAAGATGATGGATGAGCGTTGCTGGAAAACAATAAAGCTTACAAAATTGCAGGGATTGCATCTGTGAGATTTGAGCTTCATGACGAGTCAATAAGCTGTTAACTGGCGTCATGTATGTACCGCATCTTAGAAGAAATTTGATTTCTCTTGGTGAATTCGATAAGAAAGGATATGTTTTCAAAGGAGAGCAAGGTATTCTGAGAGTAATAATAGGGTCAAAGGAAGTTTTGAGAGGCATTAAGATTAGAGCTGTCAAAACGGTCTAGTCCATATGGGTCGGCCCGCAAAGCTCGAAAAATCATAGGGGTTGGGCCTTAAAATTAGAACTCATATTTTTCTGGGTTTTTTAAGACCAGTCCTAAAAAATCCGATATCCATTAGAGCTATCCGTAAGGGCCACGGGTAGCCCGCTAGACCCGTATAACTATAAATTTTCAAAAACTATATAAATGTTATAGTGTTCCACTTCAAAACAACACATTCATTTTTCTTACATCACTAAATTTTATCTCTACTCTATTCAATATTTCTCTTTTAAATATTGTACATTAATATTATCAAAATGAATATTGAATTGTTGTATTTTGCTTCACAATTTTCTCGTATTATACTAATTTCTCTTATGTTAA